CCAGCAGGTCGAGGCTGCGGTGGCCGGAAGTGGTCACTGCACTCCAGTCTGGGTGACAGAATGAGACTCCAACTCAAAAATAAAAATTAAAATTAAAAAATTAAAAAAACCAAAAAATAATCTGGCACAGTGGCTCATGCCTATAATCCTAGCATGTTGGGAGGCTGAGGCGAGAGGATTGCCTGAGTCCGCAGGTTCGAGACCAGCCTGTGCAACATGGTGAGACCTCGTCTCTATAATAAATCAAAAGATTATCTGGTTATGGTGGTGCATACCTGTAGTTCCAGCTACTTGGAAGGCTGAGGTGGAAGGATCACCTGAAACCAGCAGATTGAGGCTCTGGTGGTCGTGAGTGTGCCACTGCACTCCAGCCTGGGCAACAAGAGTGAGACTCCGACTCAAAAAAACAAAACAAAACAAAAAAAACATGACTTATTATATACATCTTAAGGAAAAATTGCAATTTTTTTTTTTGAGTCAGATTCTCATTCTGTCGCCCAGGCTGGAGTGCAGTGGCATGACATGCTCACAGCCACCACGGCCTCGACCTGCTGGGCCCAAGCGATCCTTCCACCTTAGCCTTCTGAGTAGCTGGAAATACAGGCATGTGCCACCACACCCAGCTAATTTTTTGAATTATAGTAAATTTTACAATAAAGTTTAAAAATTTCATTGGGCGTGGTGGTGGGTACCTGTGGTTCTAGCTACTTAGAAGGCTGAGGCGGAAAGATCGCCTGAGCCCAGCAGGTTGAGGCTGTGGTGGCCGGGAGCATGCCAGTGCACTCCAGCCTGGGCAACAGAATGAGACTCCAACTCAAAATAAATAAATAAACAAACAAATAAATGTGTATACAATTTGGGCGCATCTTCTGTATATATCTCAAGTATTTCCTCCTATGCACAGGTGTCTTTTCACTGTGTTGCTTCCTTTGACCTTGATGTTATATTTATGTCGCATAATGTATCTGTTTTGCATTTGTTACCTGTGCTGCTTTTGTGTTCCAGGACTTATCCCCATGTCCAATAGCAGGAAGCTCTGCCCTGTTTTCTTCTATGAGTTTTATGGCTTTAGGTAGTTTGTATGTATTTTTAACATTGTTTCAATCATGTTACCTGCAGGGGGACACATACTCAATGACAACATGGGCATATGGCCCCAAGTAGGGGGATGGAGCCTGGGGAGGCATCCTGGGGGTGGCCAACCGGGGATGTCCCCTTCTCCTCAGCTCCATGCCTGGGCATGCAGGCCACACCGAAGCCACAGCTCGCTGTTACAATCCAAAGTGTTCCCATGCCTGCTGACCACCGCCTGCACATGCCTCGAGAGTGTCGTGCACTCCCCTCCTTGAGGCAGTCAGCCCCCATGGGCTGGCAGAGACCAGATCGGGTCACCTGGATCAATGCCCATCACCTTTGGTGACTTTTAGTTGTATTATGATACTAAAAATGCCAGCCGGGCTCGGTGGCTCAGCCTGTAATCCTGCGCCTTTGGGAGGCTGAGGTGAGTAGATTGCCTGAGCCCACGGGTTCAAGACCCACCTGGGCAACTTGGTGAGACCTCATCTCTACAATAAATCAAAAATCAGCCAGGCGTGGTAGCGCGCGCCTGTAGTTCTGGCTACTCGGAAAGCTGAGGCGGAAAGATCGCCGGAGCCCAGCAGGTCGAGGCTGCGGTGGCCGGGAGCGGTCACTGCACTCCAGTCTGGGTGACAGAGTGAGACTCCAACTCAAAAAAAAAGCAAAAAACTAAGAATCCCACCCGAGGGAGAAACCACAGTCATCTGTGTCCATATGATGCATGAAAGAAGCATATTTTCACCCCATGCCTCCACACAGGCAACTCCACCTGCTTCACACTCAACCCTGCACTCTGCCGTGTGTAAAATGCTGGGTAACCTGCGTGCCTTTCACAATTGGGAGTTGTTTTTCCTGTCCAACAGCTTCACCTGAACCTTCCCTGAAAACAAGCTCCTGAATGTAGCCCATGTCTCTAGGTCTTCTTTGGCCTCTAAGACATAGTGCCTTTTTTGGGATCTTTGAGGATCTGGTACGATATTACCTGACATATGGTCCAAGGTTTAATTTCTCCAATTGTTTCCCCAAAATAGCTGTAGGGTTTTTTTTTTCCAATCTAAAATAGAATCCAAGCTGAGTGCAATGGCAAGAACCTATCATCCCAGGCCAAAGGATGGCTTGCCCCCAGGAGTTTGAGACCAGCCTGGCCAATAGAGCAAGCCCCTCCCCGTTTGAAAAAAAAAATCAATCCAGGATCACGCATTTGGTTGCTGTGTCTCTTTAGTCCCATATAATTCAGAATAGCTCCCTGTTTTGCTTGTTTTTTGAGTTGTGGTCTCACTCTGTCGCAGAGACTGGAATGCAGTGGCATGATCACGAATCACCATAGCCTCCAGCTCCTGGGCTCAGGCAATCCTTCTGCGTCAGCCTCCTGAGTTGCTGGGACTACAGGTGCATGCTGCCATGCTTGGCTAATTTTTTATTTTTATTTTTTTGGAGATGAGGTCTTGGTTATATCGTCTAGGCTGGTCTTGAACTCTGGGACTCAAGCAGTCCTCCCACCTTAGCCTCCCAAGTGCTGGGATCACAGGCTTGAGCTACTACACCCAACTGCCTTCACCTGTTTTGTTTAATCTTTCCTGACATTGGCTTTTTGAAGAGCCCTGGCCAGTTGTCCTATGGACAGCCCCACTTTCTGGATGTGTCTGCTGTTTCTTCATGATTAACTTCAGGCCTGCAGCTGGGGGAAGAATACTCTGTGTTCTTCTCAGTCATCCCATCAGGGGCCCAGTGGCAATGCTGTTTGACCACTGAGTTAAGGAGGTATGTTAGTGATAGGTGAGTGGGCCGGTGCTAAGATGCAAAAAATGGGCTGGGTGCGGGGGCGCATACCTATAATCCCAGCACTTTGGGAGGCCGAGGTGAGAGGATTGCCTGAGCCCATGAGTTCAAGACCAGCCTGGGCAACTTGGCGAGCAAGACCTCATCTCTACAATGAATCAAGAAAAATTAGTCAGGCATGGTGGTGGGTACCTGTGGTTCCAGCCACCTGGAAGGCTGAGGCGGAAGGATCGCCTAAACCTAGCAGGTCGAGGCTAAGGTGGCCATGAGCATACCACTGCACTCCAGCCTGTGACAGAGTGAGATTCTGACTCAAAAAAAAAAAAAAAGAAGGAAAGATTAGAGAAGTCGGGCTCAGTGGCTCAACCTGTAAGCCCATGCTGTGGGAGGCTGAAGCGAGTGGATTGCCTGAGCCCGCGGGTTCGAGACCCGCCTGGGCAACTTGGCAAGACCTCATCTCTACAATAAATAAAAAAATTAGCTGGGTGTGGTAGCGCATGCCTGTTATTCCGGCTACTTGGAAGGCTGAGGC